CTATGCACCCATGCGCTCAAACACCCTTGCACCCATGCGCTCATGCACCCATGCAGCCATGTGCCCATGCACCCATGCGCCCATGCACTCATGCACCAATGCGCCATGCACCCAAGCACCAAGCATGCACAATGCACCCAGGCGACCATGCGGGCATGGAGGGCGCGGGCGCTGACCTGGCGGTCGACGGCGTCGTGCGTGCAGAGGGCGTCCACCACCGCCTGCAGCGTGCGCCGGTTGCGCGCCAGCAGCGCATGCGCGCGCTCAAATGCCGCATCGTGCAGCTGATGCCCGCACAGGGAAGGACGGAGAACAGATAGGTGGGAGGAAGGATGTGGTGATTGTTCAGTTTCACCTACATATGAAGGTGTGAATGTTCATTCACCAAACTAAACACGGTGTGGATCAATGTTGGTCCGTTTGTGGCTCTCCACCAAGCACCTACAACATGTGCCTCCAACCAAGCACCTACAACATGTGCCTCCAACCACTTAAATGCAGTCCACGTGAGTCCCCCACCACCCTCACTTCAATGCAATCGTGAGTTCCCCACCACCCTCACCTGCTGCACCCTTTGCTTCAGCTCCGCCTCCTGCCTTCGCCCCAACGCCAGACTCTTGCGCTGCTAGCAGCGGGGTGGCAGGGCAGCACCACACCGCAGAGAAGGAATGAAGGAGAGTCGGGGAAGGGGGAACGCAGTGGAGAGCGCATGGAGAATTTTCTCAGCAGAGCAGCGGAAACAGAACGGTGGGGGGTGGCACTCACAGCATGGTGGGTGGCACTCACAGCATGGTGGGTGGCACTCACAGCATGGTGGGTGGCACTCACAGCATGGTGGGTGGCACTCACAGCATGGTGGGTGGCACTCACAGCAGTGTGGGTGCACTCACAGCATGGTGGGTGGCACTCACAGCATGGTGGGGGGCACTCACAGCATGGTGGGTGGCACTCACAGCATGGTGGGTGGCACTCACAGCATGGTGGGTGGCACTCACAGCATGGTGGGGGGCACTCACAGCATGGTGGGTGGCACTCACAGCATGGTGGGTGGTAGTACTGACCGCGGTGTGCGTTTGGAAGATGAAGGGAGAGTCGTCGGGTCCCCAGCCCCACTCCATGACCATGCGCTCCGCCAGCTGATGCCACGCACGTTTAGAACGGTGGCAGGGAGGGCACGCACACGGGGGGGAGAAGACAGGGCAGCACATGGGTATTCTACGTGCTACCTGTGCCACGTGCTACCTGTGCCACATGCTGGAGAGAGAGGGGACTCTTGATTGGTGAAACACATTTCGCTTTACCAAAGCAAACCCCACTCTGACCACACCAATACTGCTACCCTTTCCCTCTCGAATCAAGAAGCGCCCTTCCAGCTGTTGCCACTTCCCCCAACTCCCCCTCCTTCCCCCGTTGCCTTCCCGGCCCCCAATTCCCCCAGTCCCCTGTACCTGGTAGGCCTGCTGCAGCTGCGGGGTGGCGAGGTTGTTGGAGTGCCCCCAGGGCAGCAGCAGCGCGGCGGCGATGTGCGACCCGAACAGCGCCACCAGGCTCTGCTCCGTGTACGCGCGGCTCACCACGCCGCCACCGCCCGCCTCCGCACTGCCGTCCGCCCCGCCCAGCGAGCCCTCGGCGGCACGCGTGAAGCGCGTGAACCCCACGCCCTGCCACCCCCACATGCACACCGCCCACGCCGTCACGGTTGCACAATGGGGAGGGGGAGGCGAGACTGATGGCTTCAAATGGCATGACAATGCATGATGGTGAGTGCATGCAGTGTCGTCGCTCTCTTCTCATTAGCCATGCACACTTCCCACCTGCTTGCCCCATGCACACCTCCCAGCTGCTCGCCCATGGCAGTGCGCACCTCCCAGCTGTTGGGGTTGAGCCAGATGTTGTCGACGCGGTCAAAGCTCGGCAGCAGCGCCGCCAGCACGCCCCTCCCTGCTGCCCACACCGCATGCGGAAGCTTCTCAGCACGATCCCACTGTGAGGGCAGAGGGCGGGTGTTGGAAAGACATGGAAGAGCAAGTAGGAGGGAGGGGGGAAGGGTGGGGTGACAAGTGGAGAAATGAAGGGGAGGTGCGACTTGAGGCAAGATGGGGAGGTGCCAAGCTTGGTTGCAGGCGCAATGACAAGTGGGGGAGCAGGTGCAGCGGCACGGTGAGTGGAAAGATGCGAAAGGAGCGAGGGGCATTGCTGGCAATGCAGGGCAAGTGAGGAGGGAGGGGAGGGCAGGATGGAGGGCCACCTTGGCGGTGTCGGGGAGGGTGAGGTCCATGCCAAGGTCGGTGAGCGAGGAGAAGTCAATGTCCGGCAGCACCCGCTGCACATCCCCCGGTGTCAGCTCCAGCCCCAGCCGCTCCACCACTCCGCTCTCCCACCGCTGCAGCACCGGCACGCGCCGCAGCAGCGCCGGCACCACCCAGTGGTACAGCTGCCAGGGCAGGGGGGCACAGCAGGTGCACGGCACAGGGGGGAGTCATGGCGTGAGCACACACAAGAGCCCATCCCACATTCTCCGTATCCCTCTACACATCACCTTGACCCCCACGATACCTGCTGAGCCGTGGTCTCACCTCCAGCATGCTGAGAGTGCCTCACCTCCAGCATGCTGAGAGTGCCTCACCTCCAGCATGCTGAGAGTGCCTCACCTCCAGCATGCTGAGAGTGCCTCACCTCCAGCATGCTGAGAGTGCCTCACCTCCAGCATGCTGAGAGTGCCCGCCAGCTCGTCCTCATCTCGGAACTTGTCGGTGCCGGCGGCCAGCAGGATGCGCCGCGGCATGCCCCTCAGGTCCGTGGGCTTCAGGCCCCCCGTCTGCTCCGCCACCTGCGCTCACACATGCCATGCGTGCCGTGCATGCGGTCGCATCAGTGGGATGACATGGCCTTGGGTGGAATGACATGGCATTATATGGAATGGTGTGGTATGTCACAGTCATATAGTATGGCATCCCATGCTTTGATATGGTACCATGCTATGTGATATTATGGCATAAGCTCTGAGCTATAAGCAAGTAGAGGCATGGAATGACATGGCATGGCATGGCATAAGATGGCATGGATGGCACGGCATGGCAGGGCAGGGAGAGGGCCTCACGAAGCGCCAGTCAACGGCATCAACGAATCGCGGGTCCATGGAGGCGGCGGCGGCGCGGCGCAGAATCTTCTCCCTCTCGCCCGCCGTGGGCAGCGGCACCTCGATCACTCGGTCCATGCGCCCCGGCCTGCGCAGCGCTGGGTCCACCTGGGGGGAGAGGAGAGTGGGGGAGAAGGGGGCACGGGGGAGGGCGGGATGGGTGAGCCGACAAGGGCAGTCATGGCTGTTGGGAGAAGGCCAGCGCAGCGAACATGCATGTGCCATGTGCGCCCCATGTTGCCACGGGCCACACTCACAGCCCTCGTGTGGCCGCTGCACCAGCACCAGCCCTCCCGTCCTCCACCCTCCTCCACTGGCACTCACAGCTTCTCCCCCGCTCTGCTACACTCTCAGCTGCTACCTTGCTCTGATTCACTCCCAGCTGCTACCTTCCACTGATTCACTCACAGCAGCTGGATTATCAGTGATTGCCAGCAGCACCACGCCCTCCTGTGTCTCAAATCTGCAAGCCAAGCAAAGCACGGGGAGCAAGGCGAGCATGAGGCGTGAGAGCGGTCCAAGGTGAGGCTCGAATGACAACATCGAAAAGAGGGGAGGATAGTAGGGTGCATTGGACAGCAAGTGAACGCGAGTGTAGTTCACATGAGGGTAGCATGGGTGCAGAGAGGCAAAGGCGAGGAAAGCGGCGAGCGCGGGAGGGGGGCGGGTGTGGCAAGGAGGGGGACAGGGAGGCGGACCCGTCGAGCTCAACGAGCAGCTGGTTGATGATGGCCTCCTTGTCCTGCAGGCGCGTGTCCATGGCCGCCCCGCGCACCCCGCCTATCTCCTCAAAGTCTTCCATCAGGATCAGCATGGGCGCCTGCCAGTGGCAGTGGCAGTGGGTGTGATGAGAATGAGCATGGGCGCCTGGCAGTGCGTGTAATCTTGACCACCTCACCATCTCAGCATCTAACCACCTCACCATCTCAGAAATTAACCATCTCACCATCTCAGCATCTAACCATCTCAGAAATTAACCATCACACCATCTCAGCATCTAACCATCTCAGAAATTAACCATCTCACCATCTCAGCATCTAACCATCTCAAAACTTCACCATCTCACCATCTCCCATACCATCTTGACCACCTCACCACCTGACCACCTCACCACCTCACCACCTCACCACCTCACCACCTCACCACCTCACCACCTCACCACCTGACCACCTCACTACCTCACCACCTCACCACCTCACCACCTCACCATCGGACCAGCTCACCATCTCGCGGGCCATCTTGAAGAGCTCGCGCACGTTGGCAGCGCCCTGCCCCACGAACCCCCCCGGGTCCACATCGCTGGACTTGATGTCCACCACCGGCACCCTCGCCTCCGCCGCTATCGCCAGCGCCAAACTGCTCTTGCCCACTCCCGACCCCCCCGTTATCAGCACGCCCTGACGTGCACGTATGGTGGGGTGGCAGCAGCAGGAGGGAAGACAAAGGTGAGAGGAAGAGAGGCAAGCGGGGTGTGTACGGCACAAGGCAGCAAGACAGGGCGTGGCTCACCCGGGGCGGGCGGGCGCCGAGGCGTTGGAAGGAGGAGGGGTCGCGCAGGAAGGTGATGACCTCCTGCACCTCCTCCTTCACCGCGTCCATCCCCGCGAAATCGCTCAGCCGCACCGCCGGCCTCCGCACTCGCTGCCCACACGCACCGTGGGAGGGAGGGAGCGGAAAGGAACAGATGGAATGGGATGAAGGTGAGAGACGAGCACATGAAGAGGAAATGGTGGTTTGAAGAGGGGGTGTGGGGATAGAAGCAAAAGAGGGTGGGCATTGCAAGGAGCAAGGTGAGGGGGGGCGGTGGAGGAGCGCGGCAGGGCAGGGGGTACCTTGATGCGGTCGAAGGCCTCTCGGATGGAGTCCTTGACCTTCTTCTCCTTCTTCGCCTTCTCCTCGTCCTCCTCCTGCTTGCCCACTGCGCCGCAGCAGCTCCTTCCCCAGCCGCGTCTTGTACGCCGTCTCACTCTCCGGCCCCGGCGCGCCCACCAGCAGGCGCTGCGCTAGGGCAGCAGCGGGGAGGCGGCCCAGCGCAGGGGGAAGAGCGCCACAGCGGCCTTGGCGGGCAGCACCAGCCACCACGCCCACCTGCCCGCCATGCTGCTGCGCTTCGCGAAGCGCCTCTCAGCGGCCGCCAGCCACCCCATGCGCTCCAGTGCCACCACGTCGCCCGCCGCCGCGCCCTCCGAGTAGTCCAGCTTCAGCAGCGCCTTGAGCGCAGCGCGGCATGGCGGGGCCACACGAAGCGGAAGAAGGTCTCCTCCGCCGCCTCGCCCGCCGTGCCCACGTACCACTGCAGCGCCACCTGCACCGGCCCCGCTGACGACAGCGAGTGCGCCGCGTGCCCCACCACACGCGCCGGCAGCGCGTAGAGCGAGGCCGGGTCCCACTCCCTCACCGGCACCCACATCACCTCCACCCGCGTCGGCACGCCCGCCGCCCGCAGGCGCAGCAGCAGCTCGTCGGTGCCGCCAGTGGCGTGGCGCCAGCTGTCCCACGCGGATAGGTCGACAAAGAAGAGGCGCGGGTCGGCCTTGAGGCGCAGCAGGGCGGCACGGCGGTCGTGGCGCAGCGACACGGACGACAGCAGCGAGTGCGACAGCGCCTCCCACAGCCCCGCTGCTGTCAGCTCCCACCGCCCCTCGGGGCCCCCACCCAGCAGCGGCGAGGTGACGCCCGTGTTGAGCGTTGCCTCCCCCATCACCCGGTCGCGCGCTGCCAGCACCTCCGCCTGCATTGCCGCGTGACGCATGGGGAAGCACGGTATTGGGCGCATGGCAGGGAGAAAATGAAAAAAGGAAGATTTGCGAGAGGGCGTGCATGCAGCTATCTGCCCGTGCAGCATTCAGCGAGCAACAAAGCAGCAAGAAGCATTGTGCAGGGAGCAGGGAGTAGGGAGCAGGGAGCAGCGGGCGGCACGGACCTGCTTCTCAGCCGCAAACGCCTTGGCCTTGCCTCGGCTGCTCACAATCCGCTTCTTTGCCGCCGCCCGTTTGTTCCGCCGCCCACTTGTGCCACGCCAGCACCTGAGCATCCGCTGCTGCCTCCTCCGCTGCACTCAGTGCCTTCACGCCCCCTGCCCCTTCTGTTCCTGCCTCCCTCCACCCCCTGTCCTGCCTCACCAGCAGCAGCAGCAGCAGCAGCAGCAGTGGGGACGGCGGGGTCTCCGCCCCCCCACGGCGCGTCTGAGCGACCGGAGCAGCACAGCAGGCACCCGGCCGGGGTGGTCAAGGCACTCGCGCACGTCCCTGCCCGCCACCGCCATCGCACCCCCCATCGCCGCCACTCCCCTCCCCGCTTCCCCCTCGCCACCCTCCCCGTCCGCGCTCACCCCCACTGCCACCTCCCCATGCACCCTCCTCTTCGCCTCCCCAGTGCCTCCCACATGCGCGCCAGCCGCCCCTCCGCCTGCTGCCCCACTGCCACCACTGCCGCCGCCGCCTCGTCAGCGCGTCGCTGTGCCGCCTCCACGGCCCGCCTGCACGCGCGCACACTGCCCGCCGCCTCGTCCCCCCCTGCCCCTGCCGCGCCCTTCCCCTTCCTCCCCTTCACCTTGCCCCCTGCCCGACTCCCTTACCTGCCGCCCCGTCCTCTCCCTTCCCTGCCTCTTCCCCGCCTTCCTCCTCCCGCCCCTTGCTCTCCGCCGCTTCCCCTCCCGCGACTCTCTCCCGCGCGCGCTCCAGCGCCTCCTCCCGCTCCGCCAGTGCCATCCGCGCGCCCACCAGCTCGTCCAGCAGCCGCGCCTGCCGCGCCTCGCTATCCCGCATGCTCCGAGCCCACTCCGCCTGGTACGCGCGCTCAAGCGCGCCCACCTCCTCCGCCCGTCACGGCAGCCGCCGCTGTCCTCTGGAATGCCTCGAGCCTCTCCTCCGCCCGCCGGCTCCCCGCGTCTGCCTCCCCCAACGTCCCCACGTCCCCCGCTTGCCCCTCTCCTGCTGCTTCCACCCCCCCACAGCACTCTTGCTCCCCCGCGCTGAGGATGTTCCACCCTCCGCGCGCTTTTCCTTCCGCCGCCCCGCAGCCTTGCTTCGCGCCTCGCGCCTCCCGCTACTCGTCTCCGCCACAGTCGCCGCAGTCCCCGCGGGGGGTGCTTGCGCGAGGGCGGGCGGCCGAGTCGCGAAGGGCGCGAGGGCGAGGAGGAGAGCGAGAGCCGCGGAGGCGAGGGGGGAAGCAAGGGCCCGCGGGACACGGACGTTGGGGAAAGCAGCACGCGGAGATGGCGGGCCATGGGGAGCGGGAGACTCGCACTGCTCCTGCGCCTGTGAGCGTGATGGTGAAACGCCACTCGCGCTTTGCCGCTCCCAGCCCCTCTCAATGTCTGACTCTATCGATCCGTCCGCTGCTCTACTCCTCGCCCCACCATCGTCGCTATGCGCACAAAATACTCGATTTACCCCTTTGCTGCTAATGCCGACGTAAGCCCGCCTAAACCCCCGTCTACCAATGAGCGGAGCGTGCGGGCGCGGGATGGCGCGGCCTGCGCCGGAGAGAAGCCCGCGGGCGGCGGAGTCAGGCGGTGGCGCGCCGAGGCAGAAAGGCGGGACGGCGAGCGAGGAGGGCTTGCACGCCTGCCATGGCGGGGAGTGGAGGCACGGGACCAACAGCCCGCGGAGATGATTTTGCAATGCTTGAATTGAACAGTCAACCTATCATGCCGTCACACACACATACCCCCTCCCCAAAAAAAAAAAACGATTCTTTCGGGACAAACAAAACGAGGCTTGGAGACGCGGGGTATCGATCCCCGTACCTATCGCATGCAAAGCGATCGCTCTACCATGTGAGCTACACCCCCCTGGATACAATATTAACTAAATTCTAAATATATACTATTTTTTCATTAACCAGTTTGTCTTGCCCTTGGCCTTGGGCCGGCGCAAACATGGCGGCGCTGATGTACGGCTGCGATCTGTCACACGACGAGCAATGGGGCCATCTCGCGTCCGACCCCTACCTGCGATTCACCGCCTCCTCGGTACGCCGCGCGCCCCTGGTGGGCGGGGAACGACGCAGTGCATGATAGGGCGGGTGCTGGGCATGCCGCAGGGCGCTCGCTGCTCCGCACAGCCCCCCTCCACGCGCGCTTGTCCCAGCGTCCCCCTCTCGTCTCACCTTCGCCGTCTTTCCCTCACCCTCCTTCACATGCCCTCGCCGCCTCTCAGGTTCCCCCCCGCGCCTTCCATGTGTTCCCCCCGCGCTTCCCATGTGTTCCTCCCGCGCGTATGTGCCCCGCAGGTGCCGCGGGAGCGCAAGATCGCCAACGTGCAGAGCCTCGGCTTCGGCGCGCTCTTCGCGCCCACCCCTCCGCTCCCCGCCTCCGCCGCTTCCCCGCTCCTCTCACCCTCCGCTTCCACCCTTTCCTCCCCCACCTCCGCCGCCCCCGCTTCCTCCCAACCGCCCCCCGTGGTGCGCCATGCGCCTCTGCGCTGCGCCTTCTGCGGGGCGTGCGTGTGCCTCTACTCCGCCATCGCGCCCGCCACGGGCGACTGGCGCTGCGCGCTGTGCGGGCGCCCCAACATGAGCGGCGGGCACTACCTGCTGGCGGAGGGAGAGACGCTCGAGGGGTGGCCCGAGCTGGGCGCGCGCGTGGTGGACTACGTTGAGGCGGGCGGGGGGGCGCGCGGGGCGGGGGGGGGGGGGAGTGGGGGGGAGCGCGTCGGAGGCGGTGCTGGGGGCGCCGGTGGTGGTGGTGGTGGACGAGGGGCTGGACGCCGCGTGCATGGCGGGCGTCAGAGCCGCGCTCACGGTGAGTGCATGGCGGGCGTCAGAGCCGCGCTCACGGTGAGTGCATGGCGGGTCAGGGCCGCGCTCACGGTGAGTGCATGGCAACACAGCACAGGACGGGTCACGATGAATCAATGACAGCTCACGGTGAGAGCAGACAACAACCCATCCTCATTGCATCCTCGTCCCCCCCTCGTCCCCCCCTCGTCCCCCCCTCGTCCCCCCTCGTCCCCCCCTCACTTCTTCCTTCCCCATGCCTCCCCCGCACTCACCCCGTTGCGCCCCATGGCAGGCCATGCTGCAGCACCTGCCATCCGCCACGCGCATCGCCATCATCACCTTCGGCGCGGCCCTCTCGCTCTTCGACCTCTCGCCCTCCGCCTCGCCGCTGCTCGCCTCCGCCGACTGCTTCCCCGCCACGCACGCGCTGCCCCCCGCCACGCTGGCCGCGCTGCTTGCTGGGGCGCGCGCAGCACCTCGCGCCCATCGCGGCCTGCCTGCCCTCCGCGCAGGCCGTTCATCGCCTCGCTGCGCCCCTGCCGCGCCGCCACGCCCCCCCTCGCCCGCGCGCGTGCCCTGGGCCCCGCCGTGGAGCTCGCGCTCGCGCTGCTGCGCGGCCCCGCGCCCGCCCTGCCGCGTGCTGAGCAGCGGGCGGTGGAGCGGGGCGGCGCGCGTGGTGGTGCTGTGCGGGGGGCCAGCCACAGTGGGCGCGGGGGCGGTGGCGGAAGGCATAGAGGGCGTGGGGGGAGGGCGAGGAGCGGCAAGCGCGAGCAGGCGGCGCGGCGGCACTACGAGGCGCTGGGCAGGGAGGCGCGGCGCATGGGCGCCGTGGTGGACGTGTTCTCGGGGGGGCCGCTGCTCGTGCGCATGCCCGCACTGCTGCCCCTGGCGGCGCTGTCAGGGGGCGCGCTGGTGCCGCTGGACGAGTTCAGCCCCGCCGCGTTCCCCCCCCTGCTGCTGCGCGCCCTCTCGCGCATCGTGGGCGCGGAGGGGTCGCTGGAGGTGTGCTGCTCGCCCGAGGTGGCCGTCACACGCGTGATCGGCCCCGCAGAGGCGGAGGAGGGCGGTGGGCGCAGGGGGGCGGGCGGGGAGGAGGGGTTCCCGGAGGACAGTGCGACGGCGGTGGCGCTGCTGAGTGTGGACGAGGAGGCGGCAGTGGCAGTGAGCATGGAACTGGTAGAGGACCTCACCCGCCACCACGTGTTCTTCCAATTCCTCTGCCGCTTCCGCCTCCTCAACCACGACCGTGAGTGCTGCCTGTGCCAGCCTGAGGGTGCGCCCACCACTCCTTGCCACCACCCTGCTGCTCGTTGTCACGGCCACGTGCTCATCTGAGCCGCACTGCACTGCTCTGCACCTTCCTCTCTATCTGCCACGGGCCCGCCACTCAACGCCTGCATGCATGAGCGCTTATGTACATACGCACGCACGCACGCACGCCCATCACCTCGCACCATCCCCTCACCCCCCCCACCCCCACAGTGGTGACGCGGGTGGTGACAGTGCGTCTACCAGTGGCGGCATCGCTACCAGCATACCTCTCATCGGTGCACGAGGCCACGGCAGCGCTGCTCATCGCCAAGCGCACCGTGCTGGCCGCGCCCACGGCTCGCGAGGCGGGGGAGATGCGCGCGTGGGTGGACGCCCGTGCACGTGACTTGGCGCTCAAGCTGGGCGGCGTGGCGCAGCACAACCGCTCCCTGCTGCAGTTCCCCCACCAGCTGCCCCGGTCAGTTGACGGGGGGGGGAGGGGGGAGGGGCAGGTGGGGGAAGGGAGGGTGTGCGATTGGCACAAGTGCAGGGGGGCAGGTGGGGAGGTAAGGAGAGAAGCGAGGAAGCAAGGGGATGGTATTTGGTTGCTGGACCAGTCGGCGAGCAGTGCATGTCAGCAGCTGCGCCCACCTTGGCCATTCCCCCACCCATCTCTCCTCCCCCCTTGCCCCCTCCAATCCAACCCCCCCCCTGCAGGGTAGCGGAGGCGCTGTACGAGGTGAGGCGCAGCCCGGTGTTGGGGCGCCACGTGGCGGGCGAGTGGGAGCGCCAGGCCCTGCGCGCACTGCTGCTGCGCGCAGGGGGGGAGGCGGCGCTGCGCATGGTGCTGCCCTCGCTGCTCATGTTCCGCGCCGGCCACGCCACCCAGTTCGTTGAAGTGCCGCCCTCCGACCTGGCGCTGACGTCAGATGCCGCCCTGGTGCTGGACCACGGCACCGACATGCTCATCTGGCTCGTGAGTGCCTCCGCTCGCCACGAGTGCCACCGCTCGCCATGAGTGCCACTTCCCCCTTGTCTCCTCCCCTCCACCCACGCGCACAACCTCTGACTGCCACCGCCCTTCTTCCTCAACCCAACACCATTGCGCCATCTGCACCATGCCCCTAACCCCCCTTTCCCCCTCTCCCCCCAGGGCGCGCACCTGGCGCCGGACGAGCCCACGAGGCGCGGAGTGGAGGCGGCGTGTCGCCAGCTGGCAGCGCAGCTCATGGGTGGGCCGGGCGGCAGAGGCAGGTTCCCGGCGCCTCGCGTACTGTGCTTCACTGTCAGTGCCAAAGGGGGGGAGAGGGTTAGGAGGGGATGCTGGGAGGTGATCTATCTGTGTGTGTGTGCTCCCCCGTGTGCTCTTCCGTGTGCTCCCCCCTGCACTCCCTCGGTGCTTGATCTTCAACCCCGCATCCTCGCCCTACACTCCCCGCTCGCCCCGCCCTGTGCCCGCCCTCCCCATGACGGCATGGCAGGAGGGGCACGCCGGAAGCGGCCTTCATGACGGCGCGCCTCACCCCCACACACAAGGACCCCCTCGCTGTTCAGGTGGGCATGCATTTCCCATGGGTGATTGTTACGGTGATTATCCCTCGGCAGTCGAGATGCATCCTGCGCACCTACTCACTGCGTCTCATGATCCCCACCACTCCACCCCCACTGCTACCTGCGTTCCTCCCCTCCCTGCCCGCCAGGAGCTGCTCTTCCCACCGCTGAGGGAGATGCAGGGAGGAGGAGCGGGCAGCCGTGCGGGCCAAGCTGCCGCCCACCCCCGAGCCCGGCTTCACCGACTGGCTGCGCTCGCTGCGCCTCGCTCCCCCTCAACCCCCCCTCGCTGCACCCTCCTGATACTACCCTCTGCATGCCCGCCTAGCAACCACTACCGTATGTATTATTTCCAATAAAGGCCCTCTTGGGTCTGCTATTTGGCTGTACATTGTTGATTAGAACAGTAACAGATGCAAGGAAGTAAGCCATAGTACCGTATGGACGGGTGCATGGGAGCCAGCAGCAGCTTGCAGCAGGCAGGGCAGGGCACCATGCATAGCAGCAGCATCAGATGTGGTCTATTGGAGCAGGGACATGTTTGTCGGAGCAGGTTCGGTCGCAACAAGCCGCTCTAACATCTCTAGTCTAGAGTCTTCACCAGGCCCTCAGATTCACTTTTAGGGTCGTCAACCCATCAGGGTCCCCCTGTGTGTAAACTCTGATTGACAGTGTTCCAAAAAAAAAAAGCCTGAAATGTCAGTGTTGCGTTGCGTCTGTAAAAAGCCTGATGCATCAGTGTAGCACTAGTAAAAAGGCTGTCACTAACGCGTCGCATGTGATGGCAACGGGGCAGGACCCTTGGCAGCCCTCCAGCACCACATGGTGGCCACGTTCGGATTGGCCAAGACTGACTGCTGCACCGAAACGGCCCAATGGTGTGAGGCGCCGCGCCAACAAAATACCTCTGAACGTGAACCAGAGGCAGAATTTCACAGGTTGGCCTCGCCACGGGGTGCTTACACCTCGGGAATCTGAGATTCCCTGTAATTGCGGTCAAATCCGCATGGCACAGGTAAGAATCGCTTCAGTGTTGGTTTCGTTACAGCGCTGTGGCATCAGTGTCCTAGGGGAAAAAAGTCTGAAATTTCAGTGTGGCCTAACAAAAAAAGTCTGAAATTTCAGTCCCTCAAAAATCTCAACACTGACTTTTCAGGGTAGGTAAAAAAAGGACTGCCAAAATCAGGAATTTCAGGGTTTTTTTCCTGATATCTGAGGCCCTGGTCTTCACCATAATACACTAACTACATCTAAAAGGTACATAACTGGCTAGCCTAGTTTAAAATAAACATGAGCAAACAACTTGGTAAGTCGATCAGTAAAGCATACAGTACAATGAATCAAATGCAGCGTTCAACAAACGCTTCTCAATGATTGAAGCCTATGAGAGCATCAGGGATGCGGTCAAAGGGAGTGGTGTCATGGTAGCACACGTCCCACACAGCATCCACTGCCGCCCGCGCCCGAGCCATGCACGCCGCACTGCTGCTGCTAGACGCCTCGCTGCCACTGCTGCTTCCATTGGCGCTGCTGCCGTTGGTGGTGGTGGTGGTGGTGGTGGTGGCGGTGGCGGTGGCGGTGGTGGCAGTGGCAGAGGTGGGGGGGGTGTCGGAGCAGAAGGGGTTCATGGCGACGGACAGCTGTGCCTTGCGCCGCACACACTGCTACTTGCAGCCGCAAGAGAGGGGGAGAGCGAACAGAGGGATAGAAAAGACGAGACAGTTAACGCTTGACGGCACACATGGGAAGTTCATTGCAAGGAGATTGAGGGAGCAGGCATGAGGTGAGAGAGAGCAATCAGGCGGCAGCAACCCTTCCTCGCCTCACCGCCCCTTGCCTCACTACAGCCTACCACCCTGGCCTTTCGACCAGAAAGCACCCCCGCGTGGCAGGTGTGGCTCACCGGGAGGCAGGTGTGGCTCACAGGGAGGCAGGTGTGGCTCACCGGGTGGCAGGTGTGGCTCACCGGGTGGCAGGTGTGGCTCACCGGGTGGCAGGTGTGGCTCACCGGGTGGCAGGTGTGGCTCACCGGGAGGCAGGTGTGGCTCACCGGGTGGCAGGTGTGGCTCACCGGGTGGCAGGTGTGGCTCACCGGGTGGCAGGTGTGGCTCACCGGGTGGCAGGTGTGGCTCACCGGGTGGCAGGGGCACGGTGGCAGTGTGGCTCACCGGGTGGCAGGTGTGGCTCACCGGGTGGCAGGTGTGGCTCACCGGGTGGCAGGTGTGGCTCACCGGGTGGCAGGTGTGGCTCACCGGGTGGCAGGTGTGGCTCACCGGGTGGCAGGTGTGGCTCACCGGGTGGCAGGTGTGGCTCACGGGTGGCAGGTGTGGCTCACCGGGTGGCAGGTGTGGCTCACCGCATGGCAGGTGTGGCTCACCGGGTGGCAGGTGTGGCTCACCGGGTGGCAGGTGTGGCTCACCGCATGGCAGGTGTGGCTCACCGGGAGGCAGGTGTGGCTCACCGGGTGGCAGGTGTGGCTCACCGGGTGGCAGGTGTGGCTCACCGGGTGGCAGGTGTGGCTCACCGGGTGGCAGGTGTGGCTCACCGGGTGGCAGGTGTGGCTCACAGGGAGGCAGGTGTGGCTCACCGGGTGGCCGTTGCGGAAGACAAAGTCGGAACCCCTCGTGTTGAACTCGCGGTGCATGTGACACGCCCCCGCTCAGGTTGGCCGCTCGGATCTGATGCTCCATATGGCAGGATGACACGTGCATGCATGGCAGGATGACACGTGCATGCATGGCAGGATGACACGTGCATGCATGGCAGGATGACACGTGCATGCATGGCAGGATGACACGTGCATGCATGGGCAGGATGACACGTGCATGCATGGCAGGATGACACGTGCATGCATGGCAGGATGACACGTGCATGCATGGCAGGATGACACGTGCATGCATGGCAGGATGACACGTGCATGCATGGCAGGATGACACGTGCATGCATGGCAGGATGACACGTGCATGCATGGCAGGATGACACGTGCAATGCATGGCAGGATGACACGTTGCATGCATGGCAGATGACTACGTGCATGCATGGCAGGATGACACGTGCATGCATGGCAGGATGACACGTGCATGCATGGCAGGATGACACGTGCATGCATGGCAGGATGACACGTGCATGCATGGCAGGATGACACGTGCATGCATGGCAGGAATGACACGTGCATGCATGGCAGGATGAAACGTGCATGCATGGCAGGATGACACGTGCATGCATGGCAGGATGACACGTGCATTGCATGGCAGGATGACACGTGCATGCATGGCAGGATGACACGTGCATGCATGGCAGGATGACACGTGCATGCATGGCAGGATGACACGTGCATGCATGGCAGGATGACACGTGCATGCATGGCAGGATGACACGTGCATGCATGGCAGGATGACACGTGCATGCATGGCAGGATGACACGTGCATGCATGGCAGGATGACACGTGCATGCATGGCAGGATGACACGTGCATGCATGGCAGGATGACAACGTGCATGCATGGCAGGATGACACGTGCATGCATGGCAGGATGGACACGTGCATGCATGGCAGGATGACACGTGCATGCATGGCAGGATGACACGTGCATGCATGGCAGGATGACACGTGCATGCATGGCAGGATGACACGTGCATGCATGGCAGGATGACACGGGCATGCATGGCAGGATGACACGTGCATGCATGGCAGGATGACACGTGCATGCATGGCAGGATGACACGTGCATGCATGGCAGGATGACACGTGCATGCATGGCAGGATGACACGTGCATGCATGGCAGGATGACACGTGCATGCATGGCAGGATGACACGTGCATGCATGGCAGGATGACACGTGCATGCATGGCAGGATGACACGTGATGCTCGCAGGATGAACGTGAGCATGGCAGGATGACACGTGCATGCCATGGCAGGATGACACGTGCATGCATGGCAGGATGACACGTGCATGCATGGCAGGATGACACGTGCATGCATGGCAGGATGACACGTGCATGCATGCAGGATGACACGTGCATGCATGGCAGCTGATGACACGTGCATGCATGGCAGGATGACACGGCATGCATGGCAGGATGACACGTGCATGCATGGCAGGATGACACGTGCATGCATGGCAGGATGACACGTGCATGCATGGCAGGATGACACGTGCATGCATGGCAGGATGACACGTGCATGCATGGCAGGATGACAACGCTGCATGCATCGGCAGGATGACACGTGCATGCATGGCAGGATGACACGTGCATGCATGGCAGGATGACACGTGCATGCATGGCAGGATGACACGTGCATGCATGGCAGGATGACACGTGCATGCATGGCAGGATGACCGTGCATGCATGGCAGGAGTGACCACGTGCATGCATGGCAGGATGACACGTGCAATGCATGGCAGGATTGACACGTGCATGCATGGCCAGGATGACACGTGCATGCATGGCAGGATGACACGTGCATGCATGGCAGGATGACACGTGCATGCATGGCAGGATGACACGTGCATGCATGGCAGGATGACCACGTGCATGCATGGCAGGATGACACGTGCATGCATGGCAGGATGACACGTGCATGCATGGCAGGATGACACGTGCATGCATGGCAGGATGACACGTGCATGCATGGCAGGATGACACGTGCATGCATGGCAGGATGACACGTGCATGCATGGCAGGATGACACGTGCATGCATGGCAGGATGACACGTGCATGCATGGCAGGATGACCCGTGCATGCATGGCAGGATGACACGTGCATGCATGGCAGGATGACACGTGCATGCATGGCAGGATGACCACGTGCATGCATGGCAGGATGACACGTGCATGCATGGCAGGATGACACGTGCATGCATGGCAGGATGACACGTGCATGCATGGCAGGATGACACGTGCATGCATGGCAGGATGACACGTGCATGCATGCAGGATGACACGTGCATGCATGGCAGGATGACACGTGCATGCATGGCAGGATGACACGTGCATGCATGGCCGGATGGGGGCAGGATGGACACGTGCATGCATGGCAGGATGACACGTGCATGCATGGCAGGATGACACGTGCATGCATGGCAGGATGACACGTGCTGCATGGCAGGATGACACGTGCATGCATGGCAGGATGACACGTGCATGCATGGCAGGATGACACGTGCATGCATGGCAGGATGACACGTGCATGCATGGCAGGATGACACGTGCATGCATGGCAGGATGACACGTGCATGCATGGCAGGATGACACGTGCATGCATGGCAGGATGACACGTGCATGCATGGCAGGATGACACGTGCATGCATGGCAGGATGACACGTGCATGCATGGCAGGATGACACGTGCATGCATGGCAGGATGACACGTGCATGCATGGCAGGATGACACGTGCATGCATGGCAGGATGACACGTGCATGCATGGCAGGATGACACGTGCATGCATGGCAGGATGACACGTGCATGCATGGCAGGATGACACGTGCATGCATGGCAGGATGACACGTGCATGCATGGCAGGATGACACGTGCATGCAATGGCAGGAATGACACGTGCATGCATGGCAGGATGACACGTGCATGCATGGCAGGATGACACGTGCATGCATGGCAGGATGAAACGTGCATGCATGGCAGGATGACACGTGCATGCATGGCAGGATGACACGTGCATGCATGGCAGGATGACACGTGCATGCATGGCAGGATGACACGTGCATGCATGGCAGGATGACACGGCATGCATGGCAGGATGACACGTGCATGCATGGCAGGATGACACGGCATGCTGGCAGGATGGACACGTGCATGCATTGGGCAGGATGACACGTGCATGCATGGCAGGATGACACGTGCATGCATGGCAGGAGACACGTGCATGCATGGCAGGATGACACGTGCATGCATGGCAGGATGACACGTGCATGCATGGCAGGAGGACACGTGCATGCATGGCAGGATGACACGTGCATGCATGGCAGGATGACACGTGCATGCATGGCAGGATGACACGTGCATGCATGGCAGGATGACACGTGCATGCATGGCAGGATGACACGTGCATGCATGGCAGGATGACACGTGCATGCATGGCAGGATGACACGTGCATGCATGGCAGGATGACACGTGCATGCATGGCAGGATGACACGTGCATGCATGGCAGGATGACACGTGCATGCATGGCAGGATGACACGTGCATGCATGGCAGGATGACACGTGCATGCATGGCAGGATGACACGTGCATGCATGGCAGGATGACACGTGCATGCATGGCAGGATGACACGTGCATGCATGGCAGGATGACACGTGCATGCATGGCAGGATGACACGTGCATGCATGGCAGGATGACACGTGCATGCATGGCAGGATGACACGTGCATGCATGGCAGGATGACACGTGCATGCATGGCAGGATGACACGTGCATGCATGGCAGGATGACACGTGCATGCATGGCAGGATGACACGTGCATGCATGGCAGGATGACACGTGCATGCATGGGCAGGATGACACGTGCATGCATGGCAGGATGACACGTGCATGCATGGCAGGATGACACGTGCATGCATGGCAGGATGACACGTGCATGCATGGCAGGATGACACGTGCATGCATGGCAGGGATGACACGTGCATGCATGGCAGGATGACACGTGCATGCATGGCAGGATGACACGTGCATGCATGGCAGGATGACACGTGCATGCATGGCAGGATGACACGTGCATGCATGGCAGGATGGACACGTGCATGCATGGCAGGATGACACGTGGCATGCATGGCAGGATGACACGTGCATGCATGGCAGGATGACACGTGCATGCATGGCAGGATGACACGTGCATGCATGGCAGGATGACACGTGCATGCATGGCAGGATGACACGTGCATGCATGGCAGGATGACACGTGCATGCATGGCAAGGATGACACGTGCATGCATGGCAGGAGGACACGTGCATGCATGGCAGGATGACACGTGCATGCATGGCAGGATGGACACGTGCATGCCATGGCAGGATGACAGCAGAGCAGGAAAATGTGCATGGCAGTATGCACACGGCAGGTGAGCCAGGAGGTGGGGGGTGGGGGGCAGGGGGCGGGGGCAGGAGGCAGGAGGCAGGGGGCAGGGTGGCAGGGAAGCACCTCGCTGCAGGCGTGGTGTTGGAGGTCGGGCCAGTGCAGGTTCTTAGCGCGGCAGTGGTCGAGGGCGTGCACGAGCTCGTGCGCCACCACCACGTCCACCTCGTCCTGCCCGCCCACGTGGTTCGCACACACCACCACCTGCCGTTCCCCGCACCCGCATGCACCCATGCACCCACGCCGCGCACACACAGGTGTGGCATGGGTCGTCACACAGGAACACATGAGCAGGCATGGCATGGGCTGGCATAGTGACACAGCATGGCAACAAGTGGCACGGTGGCTCATCTAACGTCAACCTTGCCCCTATGCTGACACAAGTCATCATTCTCGCCTTTACCCATCCCCCCAGGCCTTCGATCCTTGCTCTCCCCCTTCTTCCCATTTCCCCTCTTCCCTCTTCCCCCTCCCCCCTCCCTCCCAGCGCTCACCCCCTCGCCGGGCATGAAGCCTCCGCCTGCCTGCTCGTCGCATCGGCGCGCGGAAAAGAACTCATCGCTCACGGCGCACCCGGCGCGCTCCAGCGACTCGCGGAGGAATCGGACCGTTGGATCTGGACGAGGGGGCGCGGGGGAAACGACAGTGGGCGCGGTCGGGATGAGAGGGACTCGAAGTGCGTTTGTTGAGAGGAAAGCGAGTGGCGCGTGCGCGAGGGCATGTGCATGTGGAGATGGGGTGAAAGGCTGCAGGGAGCGGGACGAACGGGAGGTCGGAGGAAGGGCGGGCGATGGGACAGAAGGCGGCAGTGCAAAGTGTGACAGGGCGAGGGCAAGAGCGCCACAAGGTGGCAAGGGGCAAGGCGCAGGGGCGGCTGAGCGGCGACACTCAACTCCATCGCAGGCAGCGCTTCAGCATCCGCTCGCCTGCCGCCACAGAAGCATCGCTGCTACGCGTCTGATCCGCCATACGATGGAACAAGGCGAAAGAATGCTTGTCGGAATTCAGTTATACAAATCGAATAAATACGTATCGTGAAGGCAGCAGCGCCTGTAACTCAGTGGATAGAGTGTTCGCTTCCTAAGCGAGAGGTCCAAGGTTCGACCCCTTGCTGGCGCGTAACTTTTGTTGTTTTGCCATGCTAATCTTGACCTCTAATCTGATTAAGATTGACGCGACGCCATTTACTGGATGCTGAGGCGCTTCACCACTAACCTTTTTTTTCGAGATTTCACTCGAGGCTGTGTCTCCTGACCTCTGCTCTGCCATTTTGAAAGCAACGCCTTCCAAGACTTCACTTCGGTCGTGTTCAGTGGACGTTCCAGTCCAGAATGCCCTGAAATGGCCCTCCCACCACAGGCACAACTCTGCTGCATTGTACATTGCCATGCAGTTCTCTTCCAGCTTTGGCAGTTGAGGTCTACCCAGCTGCACACATTGTAGTCAGGTTGTGTGGTTCATCCCACTTGTGTTTTAATACTGATGAAGGGCAACATCAGAATGTCAACACTGCTACATTACATGGACACTGTTCCCGGTTCTAAACTCCTCAAGCTGTGTTCTCTGCTGGCTGAATGGCCTAGAGCGTGAGGGGCACTTGTGGCGAGTAGGGGGTGTTGGCAGTGCCGCTGCTGTTCTTGGGCTTCTCCACCACGATGGCCTGCGTCGTCAGCACCATGCCCGCTACTGATGCCGCGGTTCTGCAGCGCCACACCGCGTCACCTTGGCGGGGGTCGATCACTCCTGCACGCACGGGAGGGGAGGGAGTGTGGAGAGCAGATGAGTGACGAGCAGCGCAGGTGCTCATGGAAGTGCAGAGAACACAACACAACAGAGCTAACAAGCACGGAGCGGCATGGGGCAAGCTCCTAGTGGCACAGCAACGAGCAGGGAGTGGCGCGGGGTAAGGGGTGAGCAGGAGAGGAGCACGGACCGGAGGCGAGGAGGTCTTCGTACTGGTCGGCCATGGCGTTGTACCCCATCTCCCACTCGCTCTCCCGCACGCGCTCCACCACCACCCGCGCCCCTCCACACCCGCGTTGTGGGCAATCAGCGAGCACGGCGCCAGCAGTGCGCGCTCCACGATGTCGGCGCCGATGCGCTCCTCCGCGTCAGTGAGCTGGGCCTTGAAGGCGGGCACGAGCGCTGCCAGGTGCCACCATGGTGGCACCGCCGCCCGGCCACGATGCCCTCCTCGATGGCGGCGAACGTGGCGTTCTTGGCGTCCTCGATGCGTAGCTTGCGGTCCTCCAATCTCCGTCTCCGTTGCCGCCCCCACCTGCCATGCCACACAAGGGGGGTGAGCGCATGGCATGCCGTGTGAGTGGCAACTGGTGTGCCCAGAAGTGGAGCGTGTGTTCCTGCAATTCTCACAAGCTATGTATCCCCAACCCCGCCACAGCACCCAGCACCCAGCAAGCAGCAGGCAGCAGGCATGGCTCGGACCTTGATGACAGCCACGCCCCCAGCGAGCTTGGCAATGCGCTCCGAGAGCTTCTCGGTGTCGTAGACGCTGTCCGTCTCCTGCAGCTCGCGCTTGATCTGCGCCACACGCGCTGCAATCTCGTCCTTGGTGGCGCTGTCCGCGATGAGCGTGGTGCTGCTGCTGCTGATGGTCACCTTCCTCGCCACTCCCAGCTGGTCCGCCGTCGCTCCCTCCACCTTGAGCCCCAGATCAGACGCCATGAACTCCGCCCCTGAAGGGATGGGAAGAGTGGATGAGGGAGCGGAGGGATGGGGCGCCAGGTGAGCACACGCACACACCCGTGCAGACACACACACACACACACACACACACACATGGGCGAGCACGCGCGCACACACACAAGCACACCCACGCAATCACCCACTCACTCACTCACTCACACACATACGAACACACACACACCACACACACACACACACACACACACACACACACACACACACACACATGCGAACACGCTCTTGCATATGCATACACACATTTGGTTCATCTCTTATTTTACTTCTTCAACCAGCCCATGCCCTGCCCTGCCCTCCCCCACCCCCCACCTGTGACGATGGCGATGTCCTGCAGCAGCGCCTTGCGGCGCTCGCCAAAGCCGGGCGCCTTGATGGCGGCGACCTGCAGCACGGCGCGCAGCTTGTTCACCACCAGCGTCGCCAGCGCCTCGCCCGACACGTCCTCCGCGATGATCAGCAGCGGCGCCGACAGCTGCGACGTGCGCTCCAGCACCGGGATGATGTCCTTGATCGCCGTGATCTGCGCCGCGCGTGCGCCCGAGGGGGAGAGGGAGGGGGGGGAGGGAGGTGGGGAGCGGGGAGTGAGTGAGTGCGTCAGCGAACAGTCGATAGTGCAACTGGGCGCTGAGCGTGTAAGTGGCGAAGAGCGCGTTGGAGCCATGGGGAGTGCGGAGCACGAGCGCGACGGGGAACGCGGGCCACATGGGGGGGAGGGGCTTATTAGTCACCAACAGCTTCCGGCTAGTGCTTATTGTGTTCTTTCAGTCGCACGATTCCAACATTCTGCTTAAACCGGCAATACGAACCAATCCAACAGCAGACACACTGACCTTCTGGTCCGTGACGAGCACGCGCGCGTTGTCGAACTCGACGAGCATCTTCTCCGTGTTCGTCGCGAACTGTGGCGAAATGTAACCGCGGTCGATCTGCGCACCCGGGGAGAGGGAAGGGCGCGGAGGAGTTGGGGAGCAAACCGGGCGAAGGGGGATGAGTGAGTAGGACGGCATGTGAAGCGGCCGGAAGGTGGGACCCGTGGGGAGCGAATGTGCTAAGTAGGAACCGCGGAGCGGGCACACGGGCAAGAAGCAAGCGGACGGGGAAGAAGCGCAACTCACCGCCATGCCTTCCTCGACGTCGACGGTGGTTTCGAAGGACGAGGAGCTTTCGATGGAGAGCACGCCGTCCGCGCCCACCTTGTCCACGGCGTCCGCTATCATCTCGCCGATCTCGTCGTCGTTGCCCGCGCTGATCGTCGCCACCGCTGCTCGCCCAAGGGGGAGGGTACGGCACGCGCACGGTGACACATGGGTGAAGGTGGGGAACAGGGAGGGAGGGGAGCGAGAGATGAAGTGAGATTGGGATGCTTCGAGAGCGGCGAGTCTCGCAGACTGCCACACGCACGGCGCGTGAGAGCTGATCAGCCAGACTCGAGACTCGTGCTTTCAGAAAGGCATCGCCAGAGTCCCAAGTCTAGGGTTTTCCTGCAACCGCGCCCAGCGCACGCACCCTTAATATCGTCGCGGCCCTTGACGGGGCGCGCGCGGTCCTTGAGCGACTCGACGAGGTGCGCAACGGTCTTGTCAATGCCCTTCTTGAGCGCCACGGGGTTGGCGCCCGCCGTAACGTTGAGCAGCCCCAGGTTGATCAGCGCGCGCCCAACACGCTCGCCGTCGTCGTGCCGTCGCCCGCCGAGTCGTTCGTGCGCGACGCCACCTGGCGGGCGGATGTGATAGTAACGGGGGATGTTTTAGCGGGGTGTGTGATGGGCGTGCAATTCGAGCGGCAATATGCTGCACGGCTGCACGGCTGGCTAGGGGAAGAATGCTGAAATACAATCCCCAGAACCCTGGTTGCTTTATCCTTTACCCTAAACCTGCTATCTCCAGGCATCTCTCACCTCGCGGATGAGGGCGGCGCCGGCGTTCTCCATGGGGTCGGGCAGCTCGATGGCCCTGGCGATGGTGACGCCGTCGTTGATCACCTTGGGCGCGCCGAACTCGTCCGCACCACATTGCGACCTGCGCCCCGCACCAGGAGAACACTCTCATTGCCTCAACTCACGCGCTGCCAATACTGGCGGCTGACAGAATGGATGGTGTGACACTTGGGCGATGATGCCACCAACTGTTTCGTGTGAAACGATTGCTGATCGGACGACGATTGCTGATCATATGACACAATCCTGGTCGTGCGAGAGATCCCTGGTCATACGAGAGATTCTTGGTCCGTACGAGAGATTCTGATCGTACGAGGAATTCCTGATTGTACGAGAATTCCTGGTCGTACCATCTATCGTACGATATGTTGACCGATCGTACAGCAGATTGACTGATCGTACAGTCGATTGGATCATCGTACGATGGATTGGCTAATCGTACGATAGATTGGCTGATCGTACGGTGGATTCGCTGATCGTACGATATGTAGGCTGATTGTTCGACGGAGTGGCTGATGGGACCGTCGGCCGACAACACGACCGACGACTCGCCATGCGACAGTTTCTGACCCGACACAACTAGCGAGTTCCTAGTGCCGGCGAGCATGGCGGCCGCGACACAGGCAAGTTGTGCTTCGCGAGCCGCGGAGCGAGCTTATCAGCGTACCTCGCGGGCCGAGCGTGACGCCCACGGCGTCCGCGAGCTTGTCGATGCCGGACTGCATCGCGGACCGCGCCGCCTGGTCGAACAGAATATCCTTCGCCTCCGCGCGCACCCGCAGCGACCGCCGAGTGCGCGTAGTGGCAGGTGAACGGGCGAAGGACGCAGCCAGCTGGCGACTGCCTGGCGCTAGAGCCGCCGCTTTGCTAATCTGCACGTGGAGGGAGGGGGGGGGGGAGGTGGGAGGGGGAGGAGGTGGGGTGGAGGGGGGGGGAGGAGGGGAGGAGGGGGGGCGGGGGGGGGGCGGGGGGGAAGGGAAAGGGAAGAGGGGAGGGTGATGGTGAGAAAAGGGAAGGAAGCGCAGCCAACGGCCATTAATAAGTGCCGCTGCGTGGGTGGGAACACCACAATAAATATGCCGCCCAAGTTCGTGGTTGAGGAGAGGTTGCTGTAATTGAAACAAACTACGACGTCAATCTACGAATGCCGTTTGCTGTAATTGCATCCTTGCACGGTCGGCTACCTTCGCGGGCACTGCAGTTTGGGCCGCTGCCATGCTATGGGCCAAGCTGGACGCCATGACCGAGGTCTTCTTCGGCAAGCACGATAGCAGGAACAGTCGCTCACGGAAGCGCGAAGAGACAAGTATGAGCGTCTGGCGAGGAGAGCCGTGGCGATGTTGCGATCGTGTTAGGAAAAATGAGACGTGGTGAGTGAAGCTGAGGTTGATGTGACAGGAGCAATGGTGGGATGGGAGGCGTAGGGAAAGGAAGAACCTCGAGTTTCATTCAACCTAGCAGCATTCGGCCACGAAGGACGCCACGTGGAAGAAGAGTCGCTGATATTCCAGAAGGCCACTCTCAGAAGGTTCTGTGGAACCTTTCCACGCGGCAAGGTTTAGGTCAAATCTTGCCAGCGTGGTGTCCACGTTGCCATCAACCCTCCGTAAATCGCCGCCTTTCCGCCCTTTCGAGAAGATCTAAATGCTGCTCGCTAATAGCTATCACATTCTCCAACGTAGTCGCTCACTACAAGAAATGTTTGAGTCAGTTACATGCAATAAAATGTAAGACCACACTTTTCTTCCCATACGTACTTATTACAGAAAGAACATGATGGTCTCGATCAGTTTCTTTCCAAGAACTTGTAATCGACTAAGCATGCCCCGCATATCCATTCCTTCATTTTTATTAAAAAAAATATTGGTTTAGAAGTATTAATCGTGTCTTAGATAAGAAAATTCATATCCAGCACACCTTTATGTGCATTGTTTTCTTTATAGCCAGCATCTAAAATAGTGACCCCCCCCCCCTTACTAGTGGGTCCACTTGAAATCTCATACTAACTGTGTAATGCTTCTTTATATGGTACTAGTTTCAATGTATGGGATTTTAGGCTCTTTAGTGAACAAATCTCAATAAGGCCCACATCCAGAAGCCCGTTTCTCAGTCAACTCACACTTCAACTCACACCGTAAAACCTCGAGAACGTCGCGAACGCACGTGGGCAGCAGTGGTCGCATGGAAACCCCAAAGGAGCGTCGCATGCTACTGCAGAGCCATCGCAGCTTCCAGCATGTTTCACACGCGAAACCTTCGCAACATCGACATGGCCTTCTCGCGAGTGCGGTTTTGGCAGCCCGGCCGACACGTCACTGATGTGAGCACCCAGTTCATCATGGCGGAGCGGAGGTGGTCGGCGGGAACTGTTCACATTGTGGACCTTCCGCCGTGTGCTTCCGCCTGCAGCGAGAGCGGCCTTTTGCAGCCTTGTGTTCCGCAGTCCGTTGGGTCCCCCTGCAGTGCTTCCAGCCATAGCTCCTTGTGATCGAATATACCTCGCCGTTTTCACCACATGCTGCCATTGTGAGGCGATAATATGCTTCAGCCTGACGGTTAGTCGGCCTTAGAGGTTGTTCTCTGAAGCCTATGGGCTCGTCCTATTGCTCCGGTGCACGAGGGAATTCGACGGTTGAGGATTCCGTAGCGAGGCTATGCAGTAGTCTGGGTGCAGGAAATGGGAAGCCTCAATCTCGGATCTTCGCAACCCCCTGCGATTAAGGATCATGACGTCGACGGCCTTGGTTCCGTCCGGCCTTTGGAATTTAGATCTTAGTCAGGAACAAACGGACAGCTCAAAGGCCAGCTTCGGATTAGACGGAGCGACTGACCTATTTGGTGCGAGGCAGGAGTCGGAATCCCGATCGGCGCCAGTGACGGCCGCTTGGATGCCTCGGCAAGGAGCGTTCTCCGTGGTGGCGCGCGTGTCGGACGCGCATGCGGAGCAGAACGGCGAGCAGCGGCAGGAATCGAACCAGCGGACGCCAGTAAGTCCGAGGAGCCTCGCCGTCACCCGCTGCTGCTGCTTGCAGAACTTGCTTCTTTAGTACCTGCTTGGCAAGTAGGTCTCAATCACCCAAGTCCTCCAGATTGACCACGTCAGCTGTCAATCTTCAGCCGAGTAACCATGGAGGATGGTGGACCAGTGGAGTTTCCGGGACCGTTGGAACGGGAAGCATGGTCCACACGTGCCATGAGCCCGTTTTATGAGCAATTTGTGGAGATTCTTGTAACGGATGCAAACTGTCGTCGTGACTGTGAGAGACGGTCGATGCGTGAGTGAATGCTGAAACGGCTGAGACTTGCGGTGTCAGGGTGGTTGAGCATTTTCAGTCTCGATTTCCGTAGACTGCCACGTCTAGGGCGCGTCGTTTACCCTGGCGATCCTCTCGGCCTAGGGCGCGTCATGACCATGACCATCGCATCCAGCCCTGGACATCTTCCGCTCACTT